CGCGACGTGCTCACTTTACTCCGAAACGGGAGCCTCGGGCCGGTTGGAAAGTGGTTTTTTTTGACCTTACCTGAAGATCTAGGTTTTTCCAGGAGCGTTAAAAGCACGCCTGCCGATCCCTCTCCCCGGCCTTCCCGCGCCCGCAAGAGCGCGAAGGAGAGAAAACGTCAGTGCTGACGACTAGAGACCCTCGACGGCAGGACCCGCCACAAAAGCAACAGCTCTGAGAGCTCCCCGACCACGAGTTCGGTTTCGACGTCAACCTGCCGTCAGGCAGGAGCAACCCGACCATCGCCAGCACGGATTCGGGCCGGAGGGGGATTTTCCCCGCTCCGTCGGCGCGGCCGAGCAACGCAGCTCTGCCTTTCAGAGGTCATTCCAGCATCGCCCTGCAAATCACAAACCGGCAGAAAGCGGGGCCGGAACGGACTTTTTTGGGGTCAGCCAGCCCGTTCCCCTGCTGCCGGGCAAAAAACAACTAACCCACCGTGTTGGCCCTGAACACCCACTGCTGTAGTCTGGGCGAGGAACCCGGACCGGGGGGCAGCTCGCAGCCTCCTGCACCGCTGCTCTTCGCTGCCGGCACTTGCCATTCTCTACTGCACGGCTCGGGGTTTTTTTTGCTTTTTTTTAAAAGGGCGTCTCAGTTGCACAAAAACTGACTTCCACTTACAGCAAGCATCAGTATTTTTAATCGGCTTTGGTACAATCTCCCACCCACTTCAGTTTCGAAGGCGTCTCGCAAGGCCAGGCTGAGTGGAGGAAAAAAAAAGACAAGACAAAAAGACAAGGCTCAAAGGAAAAGCAAGCTCACGTAGCGATGCGATTCGGCAACCGTTTCAGCGGCAAGTGACAGCAATTGGGCTTCCAGCGGCACATAGAGCCCCAGTAAACAACAGTGTTTTCAAAAGGCCAGCACAGAGTATCTGCCGTTCACGCTTAAGCATGTGCAAAGACATTCCTACGAGCTCTGCGTTCACAGCATCTGTGTTCACAGCAAAACCACACGTCTGCAATACAGGAAACAGCTTTTTTTTCAAACAATCCCAACGCTCCTGGAAACTACAAGCCACCCAGACTTTTGTCTGATACACGTAACCTGGGAGCCGGCCAAACTGAGCCTGGGTCTGATTTTAAAAAATTTAAGGAGTCAGCCCTTACGCAAACCAGCCTCCCAAACTGCATCTTCTGCTCCTGCCAAGCCTTGGGATTTTTCCATTGTGAAAGTTTCCACTGATCCTCAATCCAACAACTGCAACAAAGGCAAGAGAGATTTCTAAATAACCAAGAGCTCCAATGTAAAAAACAGCATCCTTTTAATTCAGATATCCTCTTCCTGTATCTCCGCTTTTACCTAGAAACAGCAAAAAGCTGAAGGCTGTGGAAAAAAAACACGGTGACAAATTGAGAATTGCCGGGGGGGGGGGATTTTCTGGATTTCCCCACTTTCAAAGGAATCAAAAAGAACATTTCTTCTCTCTGCAGTTGCTTTCACCATGGTCTGTGCTATCCCTCACCTAAATACAGTTTATCTCTGCCTGTGGCTCCTTCCTCCCTGAAAGGGGAGGAGGAATTGCAGCAGGAACGTTAGTGTTTTTCAGGCAAAAGTAGACTCTCCAAAAACGTATGCAATCCCGCGAAACAGAAAGGGATTCTCACCCTACCCTGCAGTCAGGCTTTTGAAGCTAGCACTACGCGAGTCCCCAACTGGATACATCCGTTCCGTGCAAGTCAGGGCTGAGAGCTCGGCACGGAGCAACGCCACATTAGAGAGGCTGGGAAATACTTATTCTTTCACTCATTTCTCAAACGTTAACAGTAATTTGGGGGGGGCCTACAGTATTCAGAAACGAGTTGCTCCGTTTTCCAAACGGTACTTCCACAGAATACAAAGCGGTGGTTTTCTTCTGCTCTCCACGGAGTCTTTTCAAAGATCTCCAAAACTGTAAAAGCAAATGGAAAGGACAACGCGCTAGGCACACGTGAGGAGTCAAACCTCATCAAGTCACTCCAAGCCAGACCCACCGAGTTACTCGAGCGCAGAGAGGAACGCGACTTCACTGAGATCATTCACGAGTCGGACAGTAGGCACATGCTTAAGTACCCGGTGAAATAAGACTCTGGAGACACGCTATGCTATTTTAGCTTCTAATGATTTAACCACAAGAGTAATCTGGAAAGGATCGAGAATCTTGCCAATCTTCAGCATACATCTGGACAAAGTCATACTTCTTATAAATTAAATATCAGAACTCGGCTACTTAAGACCATTTAATCAACCAGCAACTAAAACCGGGATGGATGTTATCGAGGTCACAGGAAACTAATACACAATAATTAACACGGTGACTTATGGAGAAAAGTGCCAGGAGCCAGAAATTGCTCTTTCAACACCTGAGTGCCAAGGGCTGAACTCTCTGGAATTAGGCTTTCTTGTTTCTAATTCAGGCATTTCCTGCCCCGATGTGTCAGGAAAGGGACACAGAGTAAGGCCACAGCTTGTTGCGTCCAGGGCTCACACGTGAACGAATCAGAAGAGAACAGCAGCTCTCTGTCGGGATAAAGCCCCGCGTTCAACTGGCCTTTACCAGCTCCTCACACCGCTCTCTTCCCCCACCTGCACCTCACAAATGCAAAGAATTCATTATGGCTCTTGGCACAGGACATATATACAGCCACCCACCGCAGCTCCGGAGATCAGGCCAGTAACAGACCTATGCTTCAGCAAAACAGCATTAAAAATACTGCTTTCATCATACAGCATGAGAGGGTTATGGATGCAAGGTTTAGGGAAAAAAAAAAAAAAGTTCAGAAGACCACGAGCAACACATTGAGGGAAAACAGCTCCAAAACACATCTGCTCTTATGCTCAAGAGTGATCTCTAGGAGAAGTAAAAGCCATCTGACAAACCACCTAAGGACAATTAACCCTGAAGAAAAGCTCTCTGTGTTAACTGCTCCTTTTACATGGAAACATGGAAGGCAGTCAGTAAAACGTCTAGGAAGTGTCAGTGAAAAGTCAAGGAAGTGTCAGTGAAAACAAGGTCTTTCCTCCAATACTGGGGAGGGGCAGCGTTACCCAGTAAGCAGCTGCCTACACCCCTATGCCAACGTTAACAGGACTGACTCCAAGCTCTTCCAATATTCTACGTGCTGCACATTTTTGCATCTTTTCATCCAAACGGTGCTAGTCTCTGCTCAGTTGAGTGTAGCAGCAAAAAGAAGGGAAGTATAAACACATCCCAGAGGCAGAGGACAGCCAAATAGGCAAACGGCCTGTAGATCACACTGTTACCACTGCTCTTGGGTCTTTCCCATGACCGCAGGCCAGAGTCGCCTGCCTGTTACATGTCTGCAGTAGATTGAGTTACTGAGGCTATGTTTCTCACTGAGAACCTGAAACATATGTAGAGAAAGCTACAAGACTCTCCGAAATGGAGCTCATGGTCCCCTCTCCCACCTTTTTGTTTCACACTCCTGTCAAAATTTGAACAGGAAAGTAGCATCTAGGTTCATCCCACAGCCTAACCCGTAAGGCTGGCCTTGGTGAGATGAACCCTGAGCTCCCAATGAAGCCAATTCCTCATCTGCTTTAGAGGAAATAAATATAACCTACTGGAAAGTCAATAGATTTTCAAGGTTGTTTCATTTTTATGTACAAAAAGCTTTATGCCTCACAGAATCATTCATTTTCCTTTTATTGCCAGGACGGTGGCTTAAAACCTGTTCTGACCAAACTTTTGAGCAGATGGCTTTATTTGAAAGATTTAGGTGTAGATTTAGGACCCATCTCTTTTCCAAGTTACAACAGCATGATTTCAGATTAACTCAACTGATTTCAATTATGTTATTCGGACTCAGTTTGCTAGATGCAGCCACGGAAGCTAACAGTCCTCCCCTGAAACTGCATACCCATTTTTGACATATTTAGAAATAGTAAATTTATCACTTCAAAATATCAGCTGTGGCGCACCCCATGATTCTATTCCCGAAATGGGGTTACTGTATTTATAGAAGATTTAGCAAGGGATGAACACCAAAATGGTAAAATACAGGTTGATGCAAATTTATCTGAATTTGTAAAGAGAAGACTGAGAACATTTAGCAAGGTCCCGCGGAGGTATGCGAATGGGCAGCAATTTTCATCAGCAGATCAAAATTCGTGTTGACAAATGCAAGGTACCACAAGTTGTAGTGTACCTCAGATCTAAATCAACTGCAAGTACTCAGACAATGGACCTCTGCATAGCTGTGAACAGCTCAGTGAAAACCTCTTTTCTGTGTGCAGCTCTACTAACAGAATGTAGCAGTATCAAAAATAGAGAGAACTAGATAGTAAAATGGAAAATGGCGTTACATCATTGCCTGTATGTGCTGTGGAGTACTATGCTGTACTCTTGATGCTTCTTTTCAGAACAATTTAGGAAAAAGGGAAGAGATTTTACACACAGATGACTAGATTAGCGGTATGGAAAAGCCATTATATGAGGAGACACTAAACAGATTGTTTACGTTAAAGACAAGACAAGAAAGATGTAAATGACAGAGAAACAAGATAATGAACTCAATGGCAAAACAGCTAGCTATTTACATTCACAATAAAGGTACAGCATATCATTAAATGAAACTGCCAGGAGGCAAGCTTAAAACTGATAAAAGGGATTTTTTTTTTCTTACAATACAGTTAATCTAGGAACTTGTTGCTACAAACTGTCATTGAGATAAAGAGGTTGGTAATATTTTCTTTAAATGTAAAATTTCATATAGTTAATTATTTATCTACACTTAGAGCTGGCAGTCAATGTACACACAAACCTAAGTACATCTGTACTTTAAAAGGGTGCATGTTTATGTGTGTGTGTGTGTGTGTGTGTGTAAGGAAATAAATATATATATATATATATAAAAAAAACAAACCTAAGGGGCATTTCAAAGACGATTAGACGATTCCATGGAGAAATCTTGAAGCCTTTGGATTTGCTGCAATGCCCTCTGTGGATGTGGACTGCCCACAGCCCCTTTGCAGTTGGGTTCAAGAAAGCCTGAGAATTCATGGAGATCGGTATGATCAACTATTCGGGATTTCAGGAGACCTTTCCTTGTGGCAGCAGAGAGGGGCCCACTTCCACAGGTCTGGAGAGCTTTGCATGCTCTTCAGTATAAGCTGCTTCCCAGCAAGGAAGTCCCTAACCATTTACACATCCTGGAGAACTAGTTCTAGGGGATGAATCTCACACCAACTTCTCATTGCTGCTGAACTGGAGAGATGAAAGGATATGGATACATCACAGTGGCCTCTGGTGCAGTTTATTTACAATGGGACTCAGTGCTGAAGAACACCAGGGTATTAACGAGAACACCAGGGTATTAACAAGCAGGAAACACACTAGGAGGGAAAAAGGAGAGAGGAAAAAAGGTCAGTCATTAAAATCCAAGTATTCTCTGCAAATATTTCGTTTTGCGGCACCCTAGAGTTAGTTGATTACCCAAAGTAAGCCCAGGCCAAAAAGAATCTGTCACGTAGGTTAAAATAAATATCAATGCATTCAACAATAACTTGTAAGATACGTAATTCTGAGAAGCACTAAAGCTTTTTATATCACTCTCTATGGCTTAAGGACACAATATGGCTAGCAAGCCACCTAACTTCCTCCAGGCCTCCTGTTTTAGAGCTGCTATTGTGGTTGTATGTTGCTACAACCACAACAGCAGAAGCAACAGGCTAGTGTCTTTAAAGACTCACAGCAATACCATAGGTTGCCAAATACCTGTTAGGGATTCACAATTACAATGCTGTGTAGTCCTTTGGTCTTCTCCCTCCCTCAGCATTTACACATCAACCTACCCTATATTCTTTCATCGGATTTAAAATATGCACTCCTGACAGCCCTACATTTATACTGTTTCATCCCCAAGGGCACAGGATAAAGGGGAAAAAAGAGAAAGAGCTCACTCAGCAATACCCCCTTCTAGTACTGCCAGCCTTACAGTATTGCACGTTTTGGGGTTTACAACTTCTGTCAAAGGAACTCTTAAGTAAAAGTAGTGAGATTTTTCAGGAGTGCTGAAGAAACATGCTTGGCTTATTCTACCATGCACCTGAAAGATGACTCTAAAATAGATCAGTACCTTCTATGGGCATTCTTTAAGCATTGGTTTAGTTACTGCTTTTATGGTACCGCAACTAAGACTTTAGGAGCTTTTTCAGTCAACCTTATAACGCTGTCACGCACAACCTACTCTCATTGCTGTATGGCTGACTGCAGAGGCCTGGCTTCTGTAGTTCATTCTGATAAGAAAACACATGAGGTAAGTATAAAGTCTGCAAGATGAAGCACACAGCTTTACCTATGTAACCTCATCAGTATTTCTTGGCCAAAGAAATGTGGGGCAAGTTGCTTCCAAGATACAGGGACTTGATTATTTCAGTAAAACACTATTCAAACTAAGTAACATCAAGCTTGCAATTTTGCCTTCTGGGAGGGTATAAAGAAAGAAATCAGCTAGGTATGATCTGCTCCTCTCCTTCCTCCCAAGGAAGGCACTTTTATTAATGCAAGTTAATATGTGAAAAGTTTAGACAGAACACATGAATATCAAATACACTACGGGCTATGATTTAAAGCTGTTTGTTTACAGGCTGCTTTCAGCCTTACGCCAAAACTCCAAGCTACCTCCCACGTCGAGCGCCACAAATGCACACAGTAAGAGCAAGAACTGTCTCAAGGACTGCACAGTCCTAGCACCCGCAGAGGCTTACCACTGGAATCCACCGATGGGCTCTGTAAACCTGTGACGGATCAGGAACGTCGCAACAGCTTCAGCAACCTGAGGGAAGGGAAAATCGGTCAGAATTTAAAGGGACACGAAGGCAACAAGAAATCCAGTCAGCTAACAAAGGCTGCAGCAGTTCCAATGACAGTACCTCTCCTCAGGACCCCCATGCTGAGCCAAGTTTGTTCCTCTAAAACTAAAACCTCTATATGACAGCACCATACAGGAACTACGCACCCCCACCATTACTCTGACACTCACCACATAATCAAGAGCCGGCAAAACTTTTCACCATCTCTTGCAGTAATTCTTAAAATAATGCCTAAGTGTAGTAGGTAAAAAAAGGTCATGCTGAATCACTATGTAAGTTATTCTTATAAAGAATAACCTGAGACAGTAACCTGACAGTAATAATACCACTTTTATATTATAAAGAAAAATAATTTATTATAAGAGCTATGTTTAGATAAAAATCTCTATTTCCTACTGGTAAACCAAAGCACAGAAAGACTGTTTTACATTCATGGCAGTCAGTGCAGAACAAGCTTTAAAACTAGGTGTTTCCAACCACAGGCTCCACTGGCTATACCGCATTTCTGCTTCTATCTAGACACTAAGTTCAGCAATACACAAAACCAGCACCGCTCTGTCTGTAAACTGCTTCAGTCACATTTGTTTCGTATTTGGAAAATGTGAGCCACCCAACTCAGCAAAACACAGAGCAGCTCCAAAAGCTGCAGCTTAGCACTAGAGGGAGTGGAAAACTTGAAGAGAGAAGGCAGGGACAATAAATCAGTCCACTCTCCATCTGATAACAGTTAGTTGCATCACCACCAGCCTGCCAGTTAAATCTATAACGTAGCCAAGCCCAATGTCTCAAGCTACACAGGCATGTTGCATCTTAGCCCCAGCTTGCAAGCTAGCTTAAAGAATGTGATTTAATTAAAGTTGTTTTGTGATTAGCCAGTTACGATATCGCCAAAAAGGTCCTCGACGTATAATCTCAGCTTCATAGTAAGTGACAGAACTCTTAAGCATTTAAGCTGTGAAAACCATGACCTCTCTAGCCTCACCCTTGCAGTGCATCTCACCTTGTCTGGAGCATCTTCATGGACTGCGTGGCCACACTGCGGGAGGACTTGCATCTGAAACTTCCCTGCAGATCAAGAGAGTCGTTGGAGCTTTTTTTTTTTTTAAAGTGATTTTGATTTTTATCAGTAATGGTTTAGGCAGGCAATTCTTGTGAATATGGGAGACATCTATTCCAAGACTAAATGGTAGGACTAAAGACACTGGACCCTTAAAAGCACTCTGAATTTATGAATGCTTCTAAAAAGGATCTCATATTCTTTACAAACAAACCTCACTATATTCATCTGGGTGAACAGGGATCAGGGAAGGCACATGAGTTTCAGGCAAACTCTACAATACACATGGCAGACAGTTCCAAGAGAAAGAAAAAATTAGCTGCTTAATTCATCTTCCCCAGCTGTACTTACAGTAGGTCCCTGGGAGCTAAAACGAGGCAAAGCTTTTTAGAGCTTCTTGTCAAAGGTGAGACTATCTTTCAGAGTTGCGACTGCTATCAGATCTACCTCAACATGATGCTTATCCTGCTACCCATGTTACTTTCCAGTCCTGATTGCTCTGGAAACTTATGAAGCTGGGACCAGAAGGAAAAATGCATCCATGGAGATGCTTAATCTTTATTTGATGCCTGCCAGAAATAACAGAAGACCAGATGGTTTTGGATGGTCCCAAGCGTTCTAGCTGGGAGCAACAGCAATTACATTAAAAAGGGAAAAACAGACTAGAAAGAAACGCTCACAGTCATCCTGATCCCCCAAGATAAGTGTGGCAGCCCCATCACTGGAAACTAGACGCTAGACTGAACAAAAACCATGGCAACAGCCCTGCACAAATACTAATTAGACCTTTTCCTTCTCAACTTTTCCACCTTTTCTACAACCACAGACAGTCAGGGATCACTTTGGAACTGACTAAATTCTTTAATGCACATTTGTTTCAATACAGACTGCACCTGGTAAGAGACTATTCCAGCCATCTCACTTTCATGTACCCATGGCAACAAGCTATCATCCAAAAAGAGCATTACAGTAACGACATTAAATATTTACCTTGCATCTGTCCAATTGTTAGATCTTTATCCAGCCTGTCAACACCTACATTCAAATAAACAGAGGTACTGGTGAAAAGCCAGACAGAAAACGACTGCCTAAGCAGAACTTTACTAGAGATTTTGAAAAAGACATTTGGTGTGGAAAACGCACAAGAAATATCATCTTTGATACCCGCTAGGATTCTTCACTGCTGCACTTCAGGAGAATAAAGTGACAGGAAAGATCCTAGTCAAAAATGTAAAAACACATCCTTCCCTGCAACTGAAAAGGGTATTTAGCTTGGTTAAGCTCTGCAGGTCCTGTCGGGGCACAAAAAGAGCCTATAACTGCCTATAGAACACCGATACTTGGACTTCTCGGAGATAAGTTCAAATATAGCCCACATCTGCAGGAAAAGATAATGGTAGTGGAGGCTGAAGGGCAGCTTGGATCTGCCCTGTTTGTTCAGCGTCATCTCAGTCATACAATAAAAGCACTTGTCCAACAGCAGCAATACAACAGTATGTCATTATGTGCTATTTTGATATTAGAAGCTCTGATCTAATTCCAGATCTGCATGGTAAATCAAAAGAACTGGCTTATCGTATGTCAAGAAACACAGAAAAGCCAGTATGGAAGAGACGGTCTGCTATTGTCACAGCAAAACATTAGCCACACGATGACCCTATTCTCTAACACACAAGCGGAACACCACCGAAGCAAAGTGCCGTTGAACTTAAACAAAACTGGAAGAGACACCTACCAGCTAAAAGCAACAGCTTTGGAGTCGGACAGCTTAGGAAGAGGTTAGATAAACCCCTGAACCAGCCATCCCAGTACTTTTCTGTTTTCGCCAATTCAATTCGCCACGTGTACAGGTGCTCCTTCTTTGTCTGTGGGAAGGAGAAAGAGCTCTGCATTAGTGATCAGTAAAACAGCTCAAGCAAAACGAACTCACAGTGCCACTTGGAAGTGTATGTAAAAAAAAATACTGGCTCCCTCTGGTGGATTACACTCCCAGTGGACAATTCTTCTTGTTCCTAAATTTCTCTCCACATCACAGCCAAGCACAGAGAGCAAGAAAGGCAGCAGCCACCTACAACAGCCCTGCAGTTGTCAAGGCTCTCGATTTGCCTTCTTTTACTAGCACAGATAGCTCATGCATAGTCAAAATATTCAGACCTGGCTCTCCGCAAGGCCTGGATGACATGGAAACACAAGGTGCCAAGTTGGCCACAACTGTTTTCCTTGAGGATTTCAGACTCCTAGGCTGCAACTGGCTGTACGACCTCCTGAATGCTAATGAGTCTTTGTAATGAGCAAAAATACCACCAAGGCTCAGAAAAGAGCATTCTTCGTTCAGGAAAGAAGCCCCATTTCAGGCCATGGGCACTAAATCCATAAACATCTGAGAAAAGAAGACTAAACACACACGCTAACGCTCACTTTAAATTGATAATTCAAGATGGAATCAGTAGCGCAAGACCAAGAAGAAAATAATAGCCCCAGTATAAATTTTTAGGTCACTGGAGTTGCTCTCATTTATACTGGTATGATTTGGATAACTGCTAGCTACTTTTCTTGTAGGGGAGCTCCATGTAAAGACACAAACAAATTGAAAACACAGCAAGAAATTCCCTACCTCTGTGTCGTCTTCTTTCTTTCTTTTGTTGACAGAGCCTCCGCCTTCATCATCTTCCTCCTCCTCCTCTTCCTCTTCAATAATGCCCTCCACTATGGCTTTAGGACATTCAGGACTGGCAGCCCCTTCACACCTGTGAAAATAAAACTAGAAACTGATTCCTTCCAAAACAAAAAAAAAAAAAAAGAGCATGTTTTAACCTCAAGCAGTCAGCAATTTCTCAGGCACTCGCTGAGAAAAATCCCCCCCTCGCAAGTGTAAAAGCGGCTGTGGATCAAAGATACAGATGGGAATAGCCACAGGACTGAGTGCCAGGAAACATATCCCAGTGCAAATGTGAATGCAAATAGCTACTTAAAGGAAGAGGAGGCGGCCAAACAAGGAACAACTTCTCTTTATGGAGTATGAGAGACATTTGTAAAGGCTTCAGATGTGTCAAGGATGACAATGGCACAAACACGTCACTTTGATCCCCCCACACACCCACCTTGGACCACTCCTAAAATGCAACAGACAACTAAACAGTTCCTGATAAGAAGTGAAAGACACTATAACCAGAAGGGGCTAACATTTCTGAAGCAGCCTCCGACTAATATTTATTTCCTTAACGTATACAAAAAGGCAGCCAAAACAAGGTATACGCAACCAGTGATAGTTAACTTTTTAAAATACGGCTCTTGCTGGAGTCCTCTGCCCCAGTGAAATTTTGGCCAGGTTTTCTCAGAGTGCCATGACTATGCTTCAGTGCTGCTGTGGCTATCAACTGTGATCAAACGACAGGACGCTTGTATTTGCTAGAAGAAACGTTCACTTTCAAGCGCATGTATGTTCTGTCATATGGGTATCGTAAAACATATAAGAGGATTTGAAGAAGAGTTTACAGAAAAAACAACTTACTGTTTGACTTGACCGACCATAGAAACTCTAGCAGATTCAAGATTTCTTATTTGTCCACTTTTTACACTAGAAAAACATTTGAAGAAAGGCAGAAATAGTTACAAGACGGAAGTCGAACAGGTACATTTGTAAGTAACTAGCAGACCCAGAAATAAGAACAAAAGCCCTTTGCAGTTCACAATTTCCCCAAACCATCTGTACTCTGAATATAGATATCTGGCTCATGCTACATGCTGACTTATTTGAATCCTCCAAGTCACTGTGACCTGTGTATTTCATTACCGGGGAGAAGTGCTGACAGGGAAAAAGCGAAATAGGGTTATACCCACTTCACTGTGGAGGCAGGAAGAGATGAGAAATTATGTTGGCATTCAGCAACAGAACCAGGCTTTCTGCTCTCCAAACTACAAACCTAACCATAAAGTCTTCTCTTTACAAACTCCTCTGCTGAAGATGTAAGTAATTCTTCCTGCAAGGGAATTAACATGCCTCACTTCTTACAGATTGGAACGTCTCGGGGTTCTTTTCTAAGAGATGGGACATTTTTACAAGGAAGTTGCAGTTCATACCAGCAAAGCTTTCTCTTATTTGAAGCTCTCGGAGGATCTTTCTCTGTTACCTAGCCAACTCTCCCAGCAAATGAATTATCTTTGAGACCTCTCTCTCCTTGTCAAATCAGCCAAGGAATTGGTGGTGATAGTTAGGCAAGTGAGCGAGGAGAGAGCAGACAAATCATAAAAACCTTGTTTCTTTTGGGAGTCAGGCTAAAAAGGTAAGTGATTTTAGAGGGTACCTAAGCCCATGCAATACCTCCACTCAATTGCATTCTCAAGTGACTTGAACGTTTTGGGACGACTCCTTAAGAAGTTCTGCATGCTGTTCAATGCATCCATGGCTGTACCTAAAAACAAATATTTTCTGTTAAGAGGAGGGAACTGGCATTGGTTTGACAACAGAGCAAAACTCTCTCTGCTCAGGGATTTTGGGACAATCAGAAAAACATCAACATGGAAGATAACCATACACACTTACCTTCCACTACATCTATCATGCACAGACCCAGGATACTTGGCACCAAATTTGCTGCCGCTGTGTGCACTGCAATGGCACCACCCATGCTGTGCCCAATCAGCATGATAGGGGGAGGGAGGTCCCCATACAGAGCTTCAACCACGTTTCCAACGTCTCTGCCAAATTGAGATAAATACACAGTTGACATTTGTACCCTGATATATTCCTGAGGCAGATCTGCAAAACGGGAGGAGAAAAATACAGATCCAACACAGATGTCCTGCTCCAAATTGTCTGCTCACTCCCGCCCAATGCTAGATGACCCCACCCCGTACATAAGCCTTCGGGGTCTTCTCCATCTGTTCATTTAACCCATAGGTAATTGCAATAAGTGTATTCTCTTATCACTGTCTAGCTTCCCTTAGGTACCAATACTGCAAATCACTCAACTGAACAAACATGTAAGTTCCCTTTCTATTAACACAAAGCGCTCATTAACAAAAAAAAAACAAAAAGAGAACAGTTTACGTTGACATTAGTTGCTGGGAGAGTTAAAAAAAAGGTGAGAGAACTGTCAAGTCCTCTTGGATGGAAGCGTAGATTAAGGAATTAGCAGTTCTGAAAGGAGAAATCTTTTGCAATTAAAGAGAGAAAATAACCAAGGCCTACTGACCAAGACAGAGATAAATAACGTCAAATACAAATAAAAAGATTCAGGCTCTCTCTGAAGCGTAGCTACTACAGGGCAAGGAGCAATTTCCCTGGCTTTTCCATAAGGCACCTACCTCCAGGTCCTTATACTCAAGCGGTCACTGCACTATGTGAATGCTGGCTCACACAACTTAAAAAAAAACAAAAACAAAACAAAAAACACACAGCAACAGCAGAACTAAGACCTGAATTCTACTGAGGACCACAATAGTTTGGGAGACTCAAAGACATCAAAACTGGCTTTCCTGACAAAAAACTCAGAGGAGCTGGAGACCTGAGCAGTACTGCACCTAATACATGGAAAAGAAGTCAAAAGGAAGGTTGACTAGCTTGTTTGCTCTGTCAAAGAGAAAATTACTTGAAGATTTAATACAATCTGAAAAATAGCTATAATTTAACGCTCCAATTTAAAAGCTGATTAGGAATAACTTTCAAGCTCATTGCTAAGAGGACAAAAATGTTTAAAACAAAAGGCAACTTGTTTTCACCCATGTTAGTGCTGCTCCAGATCTTAAAAAAACCCTAATTATTTCATACGGCATCTCCTCAGGACAATAACACATCAGGAGCTGACAAGCTGTAAGCAGCAGCAATAAGGTAAACAACGGAAGTCAGAATACATTTCACACATGGCCTCCCCACAACAAACCAAGTGGATTTGTTCATATGAAGGGTACAAAGTCCTTCACGACTTAATTGTTCATAGGAAAGAGTCTTTTTGTGCTAAATGAGGACATAATCTAACGGGTTCAGTAGTACATATTTGTTTTTCTTACAGCTTGTCAAGAGGGGGATTTGCATCCCAAAGTAGGTCATTAGGGACTAAAAAAGCAGCTCCCTCCATGCCTGAAAGTCTCAGTCTTGACCCATGCTTTGAGGATGCCTCCAGTTCAAGGTGGGCGTGCTCTCCATGTTCACTCAAGGAGCAGAGGAAGAGTCAAAGCGGTGATTTCAAGTTAAAACGCCCAAGTCAGTTATGCCTGAGGAAATCTTTCCCCTTCTATTAGGAAGCCTCTAGCAAGAGTTTTAGAGTGTTGCTGGTTTAAAGTGCTCACTGCAAGGTATCCACTAATCTTTAAACAGGGTTTAAACCTGAGGGCATCGACAGAACAAGTCCAGTTTGGAACCTGACCTGGCTGGTAGAGATATAATTTCAAGTAAGTTTCAAACCCTCCCAAATTGGAAGGAAAGCAAGGGACATATACCAGAAGCATGTGAAATGAAACTATCTCCTGTCTATCTTGCATATCTTCTAGTATTTCAGTCAAGAAAAGAAAACTAGTTCAGCCAAGAAAACAAGACAAAGATTTGTGAAAAAGTGAAATATTGAAGAGAAAGTATATTTCCTTACTTTGACATAGTTTCTGCAGACAGATCTTCAGGATTCCTAACTTTTGTTTCTCCTAAAAAAACAATAAAAAAGTTAAGTTCACATAAAGCTGAAAACCTTCAGACTCCTCAAGACTTACAGGAGGAACTGTACAAAGCACAGTCATTAAGGAAGAGCCTACTTCAGTTCACATGAATAATTAAGATATCCACAATTAATGGAAACGGCTGCTACTGTATCATATTATAACTTAGGGGCAAGAAACACTCCCCATGTCCATTCCATATTTGTAATGTATCTTAAATCCAAGGAACTTAAAACTAAGGAACACGCCGGTTTCTATGGTAGAGACTGCCTATAGACTATGAAAACATCAAGGAGGAGGTTGCTGCCAGTATGTAGGAAGGATCAAGCCCACTGCCTCACACAAAGGCACAGGGAGTCTCAGCTTCTCTGACGCGAGGTCAGATAGCTGTGGAGATCTAGAAGCCACTTTTCCATCCACGCTGTCGAATAAAAATAAGGACGGCTGAAGGACAATTTCTTAGCCTCTGAACCTAGCCATTTTGGGAGGCATTCATTACATCTCCTTTATATTTAACTGCAAAAAAACCCCCATATGTACACACACACAAAAGTATATAGATGTACTCACGTGATTTTAAATCTTGTTATTACTTACCATGGCCTCGGAGATCTAAAGCCACAATCCTACACTGAATCCTGTTAATGATTGCAGACTGCAAGAAGGGATAAAAGAGAATACAATTTGCAAAGTGCCACACCTTATCTACAGAAGGGTTAGTAACATTAAGCAGTCCCTGAAACAACACCAAAGACTAGGATGGTGCGTCAAGAACCCTCCACCGCCAACAGAGAGGCTGAGCCTGGATTGCACAAGGTCCTCTAGAAAGCACGCGAGATATTCCATATAAACCACCTATAGTTACCTATCCGTAATTACCTATTTGATTCCCTAAAGCTCCAGCCTTTCTACCATTGTTCACGCCATCTCCAAGGACATTTATTTCACGGGGCATAAGACATTACGCTTGTTTCCTAGGATAATGAATTCAAGCACTGTAGCACCTCTGAAAACCAAAGTGCAGCAGCAGGATTGCACAGACGCTGAAGTAGTGGCCCCCCCCCCCTCCCCAAGCCGCCCCACGTGTTCCAAAATTAGCCTTGCCTATACAGCAGGCACGAAGATGAAGCAGCTGCTTTGCAGCACACATTCAATTTGCTCGCAAAGAATGGAATTTTACAGTAACGCCAAAACGTACAAAATTGATTAGCGCAAAGGAGCAGGGGCAACAAGGGAGGAATCTTTTTAAAGTAACACGAGGCTGATGTACGGATTATGCCTCTGTATTTGCTCCTGACAGCTCAATTTACATAAGTTATTTCAGGCATCGCAGTGATTAAGTGCCATTCTTTGTTGAAAAGAAGACTTTTGTGCTAGGGAACTATCGATTATTTAAATAATGGCCCTGCAAAACCAGGGGAATTTGTTGAGGGATTCTTAATAGAAACACCTACATAACTGGCAGAGATCTGAAAACTACCCAGCCGTCGTGTTTTGATTTTTTGGCTATTCAGCTCCTAAATGACTGTAGTCATTGCTGTCCCAACTACTGAATCCAGAAGTTAATATTTTAGAGCCCCTGGAGTCTTGAAACCTCAATCTATAAGGTGTTTATACAGCTAAGCAATAATTTACTTAGTCAGATGTGTAGTCTGCTGCTAAAAACAAACCATCACAGAGGAGAGTGAAGAAAAAGGATCAGCAACATGATGTGACAGAACGGGAAGCTTTCCAACGCCCCGAGTTTTACCCAAACAGAAATACTTTGGGCAAGAGAAGTACAAGCACATCAGCCAGGAAGTTACCAGGCCAATAGGCAAAAGCAGAAAAGAGCACCCTGCTCCTGCAGGCTATTATTGTATTTACAGAGGCTTACTCTCAACGCTTTCCAATTCGAGTTTTTGGTTTTTTTAAGCTCTGTTTCATTCCAAACATTTACCACTTGACTGCTTGGGACAAACTCGCATTTCAAAACACAAACTAGAAATAATTTGATACTAGCTACATAAAGGGATGAGCTAATTGTAGCAATTTCTTTCTCCAGATGCACAGCCAGGTGCAAGGCACCAATCTATGTGAATCATGTATATGACTTAACTTTGCTAATTGCTAACAGCAGCATAAAAAGCCAGTAGCTGTAAGGTCCAGTGTTACAACTGCAGTCACTTCACCATATTTGACAAACTATGTCCAGATCCTGAAGTTTAAAAATGGTATTGGTTTTTGCTATTGGGACTAGAGTTCTAGAGAGGGTGGGACTGTCTTGAAAAATCTTACCCTTTAACTCAGGAAAACATGACTTCATGCTTGTGCCTCTGTCTGATTAAAAGCAATGACCTTTCCTACAGCTATTTCAGGCACTTGGCTACTCTAACAATAACCACTAGATTAGCAGAGGAAAAAAGATCCATCCATTTTGGCAACTAATGATCTACAAGCAAACAACTACAGAATTTACCAAGACAGAGACATAAGACAGAAACTTCAACACTTTCAGGAGCCCTGCATCTGCAACAGTTTCCGGGTGAGCTAAAGCTACACATGCAAACAAACCAAGTTAGGTGTCCAACTACCATTCAATACCAAAATTACAGCGCAGTTAGCGAATAATTGTCCTAATGTGTCTCGTCATAATATAAGATGGCATATAGCCATGCCTTCAGGATTACTCAGTAGCAGCCATCGAAAGCAATCGGTAGTAACTCTTGTAAAACGTTCATTCTCGTTATTCATTTGAATCGCCACTTAAAGGCTAACTGGTCTAAAGATCTCTGACCTGCAAAAAGATAACATATGACACAGACAGAAGCACAGAGCAGATGTACAGATTCCATCTGTACAGCGGTACTTACACAAATCACATGCTGCAAGTGCTTTTATTTCACTTGTAATCCTTTAATACTGTTTTCTTCCTTCACTCCCTCTTTTTTTTGTTTCTAAGTGGTTGGGAGAGGGGAGTGTTTGGTCAGCCCACAGCACTTGCTCCTATCGACACCACACCACTTCATGTTTCTGAGAGCTGCTTAAGTAGCAAGCAAGATTTCTAGACTAGTCAAACAGGACTTCAACCAGGCAAAGATGATACCGCTGTAAGGAGATAAAGCTGTTGAACTTTCACCAGTAGTCATGGCAAAGCAAGCTCGAGAAAAATATGGGCATGCTGTGATAAGCAATGTCTTGGCACTTCTTTAAAATATGCAAGTTATCTGGCAGATATGGTTTTGGACACTGCTGATAACTGAAGCCTAGACAATAAAGCCTTTGGATGTGCTTTGCCTATTTAATATATCCACTGACGGTGAAATATGTAGAAGACTTGAGTCAGGTGTGCACCAGGAAGTTATAAGACACAGAGCTTTCTGAATTGGCTCTTCCGTGCCTATCGGGGCTGAACGGTTATTTGTCTTCCATGCGCAGAAGACAGTATTTGCATACATATGCGCTATACATCAGCAGCTTACTTACAGTAAACACAGCCCAGGAAAGAGCAGAATGGCCTCCACCATGTAACAACAGCAAGACAGGTCCCTCTGATCCGCTTTTGTAAATTCGAAAAGTGTATGAACAGTTAAGGACATTTCATAAAGTTATTTGAAACATTATTGAGTTAAATATATGCTGGAGCCTCCAACACGCCCAATAGCATTTCATTTCTACCCTTGCCTAAACAAGGCCTCGTTTCTGCCTCTGATCAACCAGTATGTGCAAGCATGACCTGGGCAAAACTTAACCTGCTTTAAGTTTCAGAAGTTATCTTTCTACCACCCACGTCTCCTCCTCCTTATTATCTACACATCTTCTGCCTGCATCCTTTTTTCTCTGGGCACGCCAGCGAATCAAACAACCAAGAGAAAAATCAAAGCAGAACCTGCACATGCTTTGAAGCATGCAATTTTGATTCGCGTGTATTTTCCTATGACATCCAAAAAAACATGACAGACAAACTTGTAACCAAGATTTTTAGGGCAACAATAATACACACCGGTAAAGAAGCTTGACTGAGGTACAAGATGTCACCTTACAGTATACAGACATGGAAAAATGAGTTAAAATATCACTAAAAACAGCATCACTTAGGGAAAGGCACAGAACCAGGAGTCGCGATACCTGCGTTCACTTCCTGAACCTGTGGCCAAGAGACCAGACAAGTCACTTCACCCTCCACCACCGTTCTCCCTCTGGTCTTGGAGTGCCTCACCTATTGAGATCATACTCTCTTCAGAGAAGGGATTCTCTTTTCAGCTGTGGACAAAAGCGTTCCTCTGAGTCTAACTATGCTAGCTGAGGTTACCGACCAAGCCGTTGATTTTTCTGCTGAATGCTGCAGCGCCCTTTGGAGCTGCTCGTTGTGAACAGTTCACGCAGGTGCTCCCTAAGCCATTTCAGTTACGGTGGGCTGTGTCAGCTCCAAAAGTTCAATCCGCTGGGGTTTGTTCACACAAGGAAATCTCACGGAGCTGTAACGGTACAGTGGGCACTAACTCCATTCCTTAACTCAGCTGTTTCTACAGTACACATCTATCTACAACCTATCATGTGGGAGCTTAAGCTTCTGTCAAAGGTGATGAGATGCAGCTGTAACACAACAAATCCCAAAGAATTAAGACTTGTTCAAGCTTAAGATGCTTCTGTACATCATCTATCCAAAAAGGTCTATTACCCTTCTTATTTTACTATTTATGAGGCCTCATGGGTGTGCACGGCACGCTACAACAAAGGCGGATAAGATGCCTATCGTGAAAAATGTATAGGATCATTTGGACAAGTACAGTTAATGAGAGCAGAGAATAATGACAAGCTGAGCGAAACAATCAGGAAAGAGATTTTTTCTTATTTTAAAGCAACACACACTACTGGCATTAAAGAATTAATAAATCAAGATTTGGGGTTGAAGTAGCTTGAAATTCGTTCTTCTTAATGGCCAAGCTAGGATAGGCATGCTTAAAAACTATGCAACCAGTTAAACTACAAGGTTGTGTAATTTAAACACAGATGGGGAAAAAGGGTTTCATTTTGCACTTAGGTACAGCAAGAATTTTTACAAACGCTTCTTTGCCTATCTACAGCGTACTCCAGGAAGAGCTTTGAAGATATTTATGCATGTTAGTGAATTAAAAAAAAAAAGAGGTACAGAGCTGTTTAGCAAAATTCACACAGGAAGAAACGACTGACAGAGCCGGGAACTGAACCCTAGTTCTTCATCCCTGATCCTGCACAGTAGCTCCTTTCACGAAAACTGCCAGGAAGAAGAGTGCCAAGACAGCGAATGGCTTAGGTGGTATGTTTCAAAGTGGGACAGATTTACTGCCTGGCTCCTCAGGCAGTCCAGAGCAGACGGTAAGGCAGGTCAAAAGACCTGGAAGGACTTCTCAAAAAGCCTTTGTCAGAGCTCTAGGCAGAGGCAGAGCTGATGGGAAGTCTTGTCGCAGTGGGACAGCACACTGGATTTGCGGGGGTGCTCCCACAGCCCACGCTCGACAAACAGCCTGGATAACAGCAGCAGTCGGTAAGTGTAAGCAGCGCGGGTGTAGAGAGCACGCAAAGCCACGTGAAAGCATTTGCCCCAAACTCAGCACGTCAAAGGGGATAACAGCCATCAGCTGCATTAAACAGTAACTGCAAGGCTTACAGAAAGACTTACAAAGTGGGGGCAGCTTTAAAAGAAGCCTTGATGAAGCATGAAAACTTGTAAAGGGGGAGACCTCAGGGTGGAAACAGCGGCAGTCAAAACCTGGTTTGATGGTGCCAGAAGTCCCCCTGCTGGCACCACCACCTCTGCCTGGACCAGAGAAGCCTCCCTGTCCGCGCTCCAGCAAGCAGGCTGGCAATATCCACATCGTGAGCGTGCTTATGTGACTTTGTGGGGCCCTTTCTCCTCCGCACGTGCATTTGCCGACTGCAGGGAGCAGCACGGGTACACGTTAACGTTGGAGCATCCACACCTCCCACTGGAGGTGCAGGCAAGTAGGGGATCCCACACTCCTAGAAGAGGGCAGGTGGGCTCGTGCTTGTGGGCATGTTTGTGTGAATGCACACGTGTGCACAGGAACAGAAGCTCTTGGAATTAGTCATAGGAGGGTGTTTAGAAATTTGCAGGAGGTTCCCCCTCCCCCAAGCGTTTAGTGTTGCAGTTTATCTGTTGCATTGCAGATATTGATCCTGAACATAGAGTTCATAGATTGCTGGTTAATTAAACGTCATTAATAAAATCAACAAACAGCTCTGATCTTGATTTAGTTTAAAGCTACGTGAACTAAGGAGTTGTTCCCTGCCAAACATATTATTCAGCTGTTGGAAACACTTTTTTAAATTAACAGTTATTAAAGTAAGGAAGCAGGACTAGGAACCAGCCTTACTAGATATCTTTACTTTCCATAACATCTCAACTGTCAGCTTAGGAGATATACTTTTGGTCACTGAAACTAACCCATGAAAAAGAAAAAAATGGGGAAGGGAAGATAGGAAGAAGAAAAAAAATACATGAAATAGCTGAAGTGAAACCCAATAAACTCAAAAGACACATGATACTACCCCAATCACTGAGAACAAGAAAAGTTTAATCTGGAAAAAAAAGGATATATCCTTGCCAGTTTCATTTTCTACCACAACATCTTCCATAGATTCAAAGTACTGGCTCCAAAGCACGGGGGAAAAATCACGCTTTCTTCCAGGGCTGTAAGACAAAAAAATTTCAATAAGAAAGAGGTATTTTAAAGTCGTTCATTTAAATTGAGATACAGTGGTCATTACATACATTTAGTACAATATGGCAATGTTGCAAAATAGTTACAAAATAGTTTAGGACCAGAAGCAAACAATACATAAGGGAAATTCCCTCAGGACTACAATAGTAGCAACTCTATGGTCAGTAAGGCAATTCCCCCCTCACACACACCTTTTAAATAGTGTTGTTCCTATTGGGGAGATCAAAGATGCACAAGAAAAGACGCTAAAAAGCATAAAGATGCTAAAGAAAAATAGCGAAGGTACAAAGAGGAGAATACTTTCTCATAAACCAATACCAAGGAACACCAATCAATGGCAATTTTGATTACAGAGATCTAACCTAAGAACGGCACACTGGATACAACCAAAAGCACAGCTAGCCTGGTATCTCGGTCTGCCACGGTGCTCAATAGCATACGCCAAAGGAAAAGAATAAGAACAGGACAAGTACGCAGCGATGCTTTCCCAGGATAATCTCCCAATTTGCAATGACCCATAGACCAGGGGCTTCCAAAGTCAGAGGTGGCACCTTTTCATTCAATAGCCCTGTTCTATCCTTAAAGCAGGCCTGACGCCGATATGACTGGGAGCGTTGCCGTGGTCTGGAACGCAGGAAGTCATCCTAAATTTATGACTCAGTAAGTGAATCACAATTTAAAAAAAAAAACAAAAAAAAAAACACATCCCTCTCAGAAGTCACCTTGACACCACACGTTTGAAAAGTAAAGCATCAGCTATTTACTGAAGGTTACTACCAATCTAGCATAGGATACAAGAAATTCAGCATCTTATAAAAAATGAACACTTGCTCGTGAGAGTACAGCTTTCCTAGAAATCTCCTCTTTCAGTAGTATCTGATTTAACTATCCTCCAAAAAGAAAAATCAAACTGCCCCCATCATTGAGTGCCTGACAGACAAACCACGGAGAGAAAATTAAATGAGGTCTATAGAAGGGCGGCGCCTGCTTAGAAACGCTGTTGGGAGCGGCGTACAGTATATCCATCATGTCTGAAGTTAACAGCAGTGTTTTAACTGCAGCTCAGGTTTCCTGGAATCTATTGCAACAATTAAAACTTGAACACGCGTGTAAACAAGTTCTAGTATTAAAACTCCGTATATAGGGCAATGTCAGGATGGTGGAGAAAAAGTAAAAGATCAAGCAAAAGCAGTAGAGGCTTCCCTATCTATACTGCCTCAGCTAAGTATAAGGACCATGAGACCACCACCACCACAAAGATCACTAAATACTCCCCAAGCTGCCCTCTTCCACGTTCTTAGACCTACACGGGCAAAACTACAATGACATCAAGCCATTACCACATTATTTGATGGCTCAAGGGGACACGACAGGCACTCAAAAGTTACGAAGGAGATCAAGTCATTTCTCCAATAATTTCCTGACTAATAAAACATCCTCTAACAAAAAGATTTCATTAGGAAGGACACTATCAGCAATTTAAGTAACAGGTAGCGAAGCCAAAAGATAAAAAAAAAAAAAACCTTTAGAAACGTGTATACTTAAATTCAGGACCGTAATGACAAGCCTATGTAACACAGATGTTGACAGAATACTTCCTTGAGAAAATGGGATTTTAGACTAGGGGTTGCTAGAGGCTTTGCACTTATTCCAGGTTAGTTTCTGTAATTCCTTTAAAAGTCATAATCAACCCGTACAGAAACACTGCTTTACCTTCATTCAAAAAAAAAAAAAGTAAAATTTGGCCATGTTCCAATCACTGGAGACACCTAAATACCAACACCACCTAGCACAAACTAGGGAACTAAGGCCCAGAAACAAGATTTCTTCAGCTGTCACATCGTTTGCCAAATGCTGATGAAAGGGCGCTACGCAGGAAAACCATAATGGTGGACGCTGGGGGAAGAGAAGGTGCTTTGGAGAGCTGCCAAAACTACAGCGTTGGAAAACAACTCACATGGAGAAAGACTCGGACGTCGGGGCTACCTGTGGAGCAACAACTCCCCATCTATAAGCAAGGTGGAGCGCCAATCTGCTTCGCATCCCGTAACTACTTCTGCCTGGAGTCCTCTCCTCCATGTTGGGACAAGCCTGCAGGGCACCTTGAGATAGGGACGGCCTTGTGGAAATCTTTCACCTGGCCTATAAGACACTGGCCTACAGAGCCATCAGGTACAATTCTTTATAAGACATATATACAAGCCGTCCTTCCAGAGTGCTTGGCTCAAGCCACCCAACAGGCAGAAGAGTCAGGTCACTACAGCTCCCTAACTTATCTTTATTTTCTCCTTCCTATGGAATCAAGGTCCCAGCTTCCACGGTCAATAGGTACAGCATCCTTTTGTATAAGCTGGCACCTTCCTGCCAGTGCTCTGCAGACCCAGGGAATAACACCTGAACGGAGGCAACAAAACCAGGCCTGGTTTTCCCAGTAGCACATTTCCAAAACATGAATCACAGTATTCCTCATATGCAGAGAGGCTCGTCTCCTCTCTACAATAAAGCTAACTTCTGCTGCAACCTCTTGACAGGGGCATCACAAGACACTGCAATAAATGATGCCTTAAATTAGTCATTCCTCTGGTGCTAATTTCCGGTTGTATCTAGCACCTTAGGGAACACAGTTCCCCATGAAGCGATGGGTGAATATAGAAGACCGGACATTACATCATCTAGGACTCTCAAAGGTGCCCAGTTGATACATCAATTTTGGGGGGGGGGTTTAAAACTTCAATCAAAAGGTGCAGCTGTGCCTTCTCCTCATCTCCTCATTACTAATGAAAGGCTTTGCAATCAGAATTTTCCTGATGACTCAGTTGATGCAAAATCTGTTTCTCAGGCTTATATTCACTCAGTAAGGCTAAAAGGGTAGTGCTTAATTTTGGCAGTGACACAATCAGGCTAGATTCAAGCCCAGCATACAGGATGAGTAACAGTGCACCATTTTAACAGTCTTTTTACACTTCAGTTCTTCTGTGGGAGGCAATCAGCAAAGAATATTAAGAGCAGGCACGGGTGTGAGGGGTGAAAGACCTTCTCAAAAGAAAATCTCCTCTACCGAAGAAGTTTCTCCAGAATTCTCTGCTTCCTTAAAGTAACAGAAAGGAACAGACAAAGCAGCTTTTCAGTTTTGTAGAAATAAAACTCCTATTTCCCCCGATATTTCTAGAATATGAAACATACAACATCCACCCCCTGAATGTTCCAAATTCACTTCTGTGGGTTTCCAGACTTCAGTATTGTTCTTGTCAAGCTTCAATTAAACGAGACGTCACACACCCACGTAAAGCCAGAAAAATTAATCCCTTCCACTCTCTCAGCTTAATCTCATTTTCTGATTAAAAGAAAAAACACACACACACATTCAAACCTTCATCTCTCAAAAGATACTGTAGATCAAGAACAACAGAGCAATATGATACACACAAAGACGACAAGTCATCATAACATTGGCAAGAACCAAGCACACCTGCACAGGTGTCCAAGTATCCAAGAGTAGACGAGGTGTTTTTTTGTGCAGCGGGGGGGGGGGGGGGGGGGCGGGTATTCCCACTGCAGATTAAGATCCAAAAAGCAACTAATGCTGAATTTGACAAAAGCAAGAACTTATTAGGAATTACAGTGAAGTCGTATTATCGATAAAGCTTCAAGCTACCTCACTTACGATTCTGTATCTTCTAGGACCACAAGAACTGACATAATGAGAGACAGCAAAGGTCCATAGAGTTCTGGAACCCGTCACCAAGAGATACCAGCACAGCAAGTCAGAAAGGCTGCAAGCACACAACAGCGTCAGACAGGCCTCCAACTTCTCGCGCTAATCAGGATGGGGATCTCCAGAGGCTGCATCCTCAGCACTGCGTTACACTAATGGAGGATAACTTCCATCAGCTATTCACATAAAATATGAGTCAGTTCCAGCCAGAGCTACTTTCACAACATCTGTGACGACAAGTGCCACAATTTAATTGTGCTTTGAGCAAAAAGGAGTACTTCTGTTTGCTTTTAAGCCCACCATATGGTAATGTTTGCCCATTCTTCTTTACAGTATTAATGACTGTATCAACCTCTAGCACATTCCCCTTGCCTGGGCCATGTACTTTTCAAGCTGAAAGTCCTAGTCTATTGATTTTCTCCTTATCTGGAAGTCATGGCAGCCCCCATCATGCTTTCATTCTGTACCATTCCTGGTTCTTTTGGAGATGGAGAGAAGAGAACTGCACACAATTGGGAGGATTTCTTTTCTCTGGTCTTTGCAAATTACTTATTACAGTCTATTACCTGACTGCAGTTGACCTGATATTTTTAAAAAAATGACACTCCTTATTCAAAGATCTATTTTCCGAGTGATAGCAGTCGAGGACCCATAACTGCACAGGTATAGTTAGGATGTACACAGTTAATGACACCAAATTCCATCAGCCTTTTAAAATGCTGCATTTCGGTGCTGTAAAACTTCTACAGCACATTACAGCTGGTTTTAGGTTTGAGTGTCCTGAATAATTCCACTTGATTAGCAAATATCATCATGCCCCTAGGGGTATCCTTTCCCCAGATAATCCATCAGTCTGGTAAACAGTGGGAATTACCCGTAACCTCCCTTTCCTTGTGAGAACGGAAAGTTTGTTCCTAACTCCTTGTTTCCTAGCAGATAACTAGTTACTAACAAGGGGATGATCCTCCTTTTTATCCATGACACCTCAGACTTAAATTTTGAAAGGATCTCAGAGGAAAAAGAGGTAAGTGGTCTTTCCTACCCATATGGAAGGGAGGCAGAACATGGGCAGTGTGAAGCAAGCTGGTGACTAATCATATTATGTAAGGTGAAGAGTTTTGGTTGTGTGACAAACTAATCCACTTTTTCGGAAAGGCGTTACAGTATGGACAGCCTCTTACACAAGGGACAGGAGAGCCAATATTCTACGGGACGCATTAACTTGTTGACTAGTGCAAGGACATTAAAGCAGTATCACGTAGATGAGGAGGTCAAAGGAACCTTCAATAGCGCAAGTTCTGGATATTCAGAATCAAAATTAAGCATAGCAAAAGACAAGAAGTGAATTCTTCACAGTTGCACACCAATGCTACAAGCCCGAGTTATAATAGCGAGGAATTGGAGCTGCTTCACTTGTTACTGAAGACCTTTGGCTCAGACAGCCTCCCTGTCACAAGTGGCAATACCTATTTCAGAGTTGCTAATAAGAAGTAGATCTTTAAGCATTCAAGACTAACGAAGGGAACATTTAGCAGAGCACTGACTAAATCACCTATCAATAACCAAGTTACGCAGGAAGTGTTCATTGACACTGCTTGAGTGAGAGGACTTTCTTTCCCAGCCCTATGTTCCTGTGACTCGGTGGCACGCTAAGCGTAGGAAACAGGAAAGCTTCAAAGACCTATGAGAGGAGTCTCATTTGGCTAATAGCAAAACACTTGCAGGTTTTCAGAAATATAGCACACAACAATTTCTTCATACAACAATGAAATACATCCAGTAGAGAGGAACTCGGCGTTGCTCCGTTTCTGACGGACGAGGAATTGATCACAGAACTAACAAGTCAAGCCACACACCTAGGAACAAAGACAGAAGCTGCGTTAACAGACCAGGGCACGCTGACCTGCGAAGCACTGATCTCTGGAAACAGGCGGTCAATCGGCTGACTACACACTCCAAAGCGCGAGCACGGTGCATGACTCACAGAATCAAAGAATCACAGAATCGTTTAGGTTGGAAGGGACCTTTGGAGATCATCTAGTCCAACCTCCCTGCTCAAGCAGGGTCACCTAGAGCATATTGCCCAGGATCACATCCAGACGGGTTTTGAATATCTCCAGCGAAGGAGACTCCACCTCCTCTCTGGGCAACCTGGTCCAATGCTCTGTCACCCTCACAGTCAAGAAGTTTTTCCTCAGCTTCAGATGGACCTTCCTGTGGTTCAGTTTCTGCCCATTGCCTCTTGTCCTGTTGCTGGGCACCACGGAGAAGAG